CACTAAATGCCTTCAAGAAGAAATTTGTGACATCTCATACAAGCAACTTAATGGCCCAACTGAAAGCACTAGAAAAAAAAGAAGCAAATACCCCCAAGAGGAGCAGACAGCTGGAAATACTCAAACTCAAGGTGGAAATCAATCAATTTGAAACAAATAAAACTATTCAAAGAATCAATGAAACCAAGAGCTGGTTCTTTGAGAAAATAACAAGATAGACTAAAGCTTAAATGCAGATTTTACTGAAGTATTATCAGAAGAAGTTGTTTAAACTGCCCATGGTCAAAATACCAATGAAAAGTCCACCTACATTTTATAGTTAAGCATATAAAATATTAAGTAGCCCCATGTTAGAACGAACAGTGCTTACTGCAATCAGATTTGATGTGGAATATGACAGCACTATGACAAATGGGGAAAGGGGGCATTTAAATATCTATAAATTTAAATACATTAGACAATTCTCTAAAAGAGTATGCAGATTGGTTCATTAGATTGTATAAACATCTTAGATGTTCCATAAATAGAAAGAACTCTATTGGTAACACTGGGTTAAGAAACAAAAGAAAACACAGTTGAATTCAAAATACCATTCCTTTGTCATGAGATGGAACAGAGATGCATGGAATTGAAACACAAAATTATACAACTACAGACTATGACTAGATGGGCACTGAGATTAGTAACAGCCATTAATGAAGAAAAGGAAAGGGGTAGGAACAGAATCAAGAGCACAATTGGAACACAATTAAAAAGGAGTTAAGTAGTTAAAATTGGGTGTGGGGACACACGCCTTTAACCCTAGCACTCAGGAGGCAGAGGCAAGATCTCTGTGAGTTTGGGTCCAGCCTGATGAGGTCTAGGCCAGCCAGAGTTCTACAGTGAGACCCCTTTATTTTAAAAAATGCAAAATACATACATTTTGCATACAATCTTCCTATATCCCTTGCCATCTTCCTTGGCATTTTAAACCTTTTCTTTGTCCTGTGGATTCTGACTCAAGGGGATAAATTTCCAGCGGTGTGTCATTGACATTAGAGAAAGCCGAAACAGCATTCACTTGGACATACTTAGAATTAATAGAAATCAGTTTTCCTTAAGTAAGATGATCTTCCTCAAAACCTATGTGGCTGTTTTTTAATTGTTACTATTATTGGTGTGAGAGCACAGGCATACACACCATGATATGCCTGTGGCACTCAGCAGCCAACTTTGAGGGATCGTTCTTTCTTTCTGTCTTTCATGGGTTCTGGAGATCAAATTCAGATTGCCAGGCTTGTTTGCTACGCGCTTTTACACACTGAGCCATCTTGGAGCCCATGTGCAGCTGTTCTGCTTATGTATCAAGCTTCTGTACTCACCGTAACCACACAGATTCCTGGCCTACAGAACCAGGCTGCAGGATGGCCTAGCTGAGGTAGTCTGAAAGGATCCAATGGAAGAGTACAGGGAGCTAGCCAGACAGAAGGAAGAAGGCAATAAAACCAAGAAGAATTTCAGAGCAAATGATACAAAATGGGCATAAAGAAACCAATAGGCATGTTTTACAAGAGCTGCACAGAGTGGAAAAAAAGATGAATTTTAGAAAGCAGGTAGGCATCAGGGCGTGGCAACCAGGGAAGGCAGGTAGGGCATATAGATGGTGCCCTGTGAGCACTTGCAGAGCTGTTGCAGCGCTGTTCAGAGTGAGATGAGTCAGCAGTGTTAAGAAGGCACAACTAGGGGAGGGGCCAGAGAGGAAGGCAGCAAAGAACTAGGGAAGGGCAGCTTCATGCAGTGATCCGGGGAATCATAGTTTAGACTGGCAGATGAGAGCGAAAAGGAAAGGCACAGCTGAAGTTTGCCCTCAGTTAAAAACCTAGAAAATGGTCACCTGCAGCCTCACCAAACAACTACTTATGTTGACAGGTAAGTAAGCTGCCATTACTATGATCAAATCCATGACGGAGTAGCTTAATAGCTGATAAAGCCATTTTTCAAAACCGCTTTTATTAAGCTAAGTGGAGAGAGACTTGGAAAAAATTTTTGATACAAGTAAAAATTATTTATGTTCATGATATTTACAAAGTGATGAGTATTTTCAAATTTCTAAAATAATTAACTGCTATTTTAATAAGGCAGTAATAAAGGCATGATGGACAGGCCTGTTTCCAATACTTTTGCAAATTTGCTTTTTATATCTCCTTTCGTAGATCTATTTTCATCTTTTGCATATTGCAAACCTATTACTAATCACGAATTCACATTTTCTTTTGCAAATGCACCTACAAGTAAAACTGTGAAGTAATTATGGACAGTATGAGTGGAAGCACCTTCTCTAGGGCCGCCAGGCTACACAGTGAGACCTTGTATCAAAAAGAATGTGAAAACTAAAGTCAATATATTTTGCACATGATCTTTCTACAGCCTTTGTTATCTTCCTTGACATTTAAAAGCAAACGTTTTCTCTATCAAAGGTATATATTTCCGGGCACTCTGTGCCTGTGTATACACTGTGTGCACACATTCTGATCTGGAGCTCTAGAATCTGCCTATCTTCACTAAAACACTGGGGTCACAGGATGATGGGTCCAACCCAAGTTCTCATGCTCCTACAGCAGCTACTTCCTTCTATCCTTCCTTCCTTCCTTCCTTCCTTCCTTCCTTCCTTCCTTCCTTCCTTCCTTCTCTCTTTCTCTCTTCTTTCTAGCTCTCTTTCTTCTTTCTTTCTTTCTTTTCTTTCTTTCTTTTTTCTTTCTTTCCTTCCTTCCTTCCTTCCTTCCTTCCTTCCTTCCTTCCTTCCTTCCTTCCTTCCTTCTTTCTTTCTTTCTTTCCTTCTTACAATTTATTTACTTTGTATCCCTGCTGCAGCCCCCTCCCTCATCTCTTCCCTCCCTCTTCTCCCCCTATGCCCTTTCCCTAGTCTCCTGAAAGGGAAGGTCCTCCTCCCCTTCCATCTGACCCTAGCCTAACAGGTCTCACCAAGGCTGGCTGCATCATCTTCCTCTATGGCCTGGCAAGGCTGCACCACCCCCCAGCGGGAGGTGATCAAAGAGCCAGCCACTGAATTCATGTCAGAGACAGACCCTGTACCAGGGAACCCACTTGGAAACTGAGCAGCCTATCGGCTTCCTCTGAGCAGGGGGTCTAGGTCCTCTCCATGCATGGTCCTTGGTTGGAGTATTGGTCTCTGCAGAACCCCTGGGGCCCAGGGTTTTTGGAACTCCTTGTGGAGTTCCCGTTCCCTCCAGGTCTTTTTATCTCCCTCTTCTTCCATAAGGTTTCCTGCATTCTGCCCAAAGTTTGGCTGAGTCTCAGTAACTCCTTTGATACCCTGATGATAGAGTCTTTCAGAGGTCCTCTGTGGAAGGCTCCTGTCCTGTTCCTTGTCTTCTCTCACTTCTGTTATCTATCCTGTTTGCCCTTCTGAATGAGGATTAAGCATCTTCCCTAGGGTCCTCCTTGTTCTTTACCTTCTTTAGGGCTATAGATTTTAGTATGTTTATCTTATATCATATGTCTAATATCCACGTATAAGTGAGTATATACCATGTGTGTCTTTCTGTTTCTGGGTTACCTGACTCGGGATGATCTTTTCTAGTTCCTACCATTTGCCTGAAAATTTCATTATTTCCTTGTTTTTAATTGCTGAGTAGTATTCCATTGTCAAAATGTGCCTCACTTTCTGTATCCATTCCTCCACTGAGGGACATCTGGGTTGTTTCCAGATTCTGGCTGTTACCAATAGAGCTGCACAGCAGCCACTTCTAAGCCAGCTCTCCAACTCTACTGTCTCCTCCCCTCTCCTTCTTTTCCCCTTCCCTCTCTTCCCTCCCTCCTTCCTTTCCTATTTTTGTTTTGAGAGAGGATCTTGCTATATAAAGCTGGCTGGCCTCAAACTTACTGAGCTTCTCCTGCCTTCCCAGGTGCCGGAAGCTCCTATTTCTTTTTTTTTTCCTTTTGTTTATTTTTGATTTTTATTAATTACAGTTTATTCACTTTGTATCCCCCCTGGTGCTCCCTCCCTCCTGCCCTCCCAATCCCACCCTCCCTTCCCCTTCTCCACCCATGCCCCTCCCCAAGTCCACTGATGGAGAAGGTCTTCTTCCCCTTCCTTCTGATCCTAATCTATCAGGTCTCATCAGGAGTGACTGCATTGTCTTCCTCTGTGGCCTGGTAAGGCTGCTCCCCACTCAGGGAGCAGTAATCAAAGAGCCAGCCAATCAGTTCATGTCAGAGACAGTCCCTGTTTCCATTACTAGGGAACCCACTTGGAGACTGATCTGCCATGGGCTACATCTGTGCAGGGGTTCTAGGTTATCTCCATGAATGGTCCTTGGTTGGAGTATCAGTCTCAGAAAAGACCCCCGTACCCAGCATTTTTGGTTCTGTTGGTCTCCTTGTAGAGCTCCTGTCCTCTCCAGGTCTTACTATCCCCTACTTCTTTCATAAGATTCCCTGAACTCCGCCCAAAGTTTGGCTGTAAGTCTCAGCATGACAATCCTATTTCTTAATGTCTGAACCAACTTAGATTCTGTTTCCACGTCTAAAGCTTTTGTTGGTACTAGTATACACTAAGTACCATGCTGGTCCTGGGCATATGGTGAAGAGTGAAACAGAAAAGAGGACACACTCTGCCCACAGGGGAGCTCACATCACATTTTAATTATATATTATATATTATATTATATATATATAATATATATTATATATATAATATATATTATATATAATATATTTATAATTATATAAATATATTATATATTATATATTACATTATATATTCGAATATATAATTCAAAATTATAATAAGCTCCATGAAATAGAATTATAGTGTGGTATGAAAGCATTTAATATGGAAAGTAAACCACACCTGCATCTGAGAAGATGTTTTTAAAGAAACTGTCTCTGAATTGATTCTCTAAGGGTGTAGAGGAGTGAAGCAGGGTGAAGTAGGTGAGAGACCTAGATGAAAAGTGAGTTAAGATCCAGAGCTGCATCAATACGGCGTCGAGACTGACCTGCTGGGTGATGGTGTCCCACGGCCCCTGCACCAGCCTTGTCTTGTAGCATTCATGGACTCCTTCCCATATATCCTCCAGGGCTAGTGGTCTCCCATCTGCGAAAGGACATGCATGGCTGTGTTAGCGATTCTGGTGACAAGTGCTGCTTGGTGTTGTCCTAAAGCACTGGGTGCCCTGACTTCCTGAAAAGTTTCTACAGGTGCACAAAGACTTACACATCAGACTTCTGTATGAATTACTATTTTGTTCCTGGGGGAAGATTAAACATTTAAGCTTTTCTTCTTTGTAGTCACACAGCAACTAAGATAGCAATTTATTACCTTTAGGAATTTTACAAAATAAACAAAAGGTGAAGATATTTTAGTTATAAATGACAGATACAAGCATAAGGGCAAGTTGAGGAAAGGGACTCTCTTATTCCCAGAGGTCTGCTATGAACACTGCTGGAGGCTTCATGATTCCTCTGTCTTCAAAGCAGAGACCACATCCACACCTTTCCACGCTCCTGTTGATGAGTAATAATGTTCAAATCATTCTAGTGGGCATCAAGAAGATGAAAAGGAAGAAAAACATGATTTCTTGCAGTAAGTAGCTTACCATTTACTGGGGAAACTATGACAAGCATATAAGTATCTTAAAAAGCAAACAGAAAGAGGCTCCTTTACTGCCAGCGGAAAGCTGGTGCTGGAGAATGCACAGCACAGCAACACCAGTACATAGTGTTGGTGATAAGTGGGAGATGGGTTGACTGGAGTGGAGAAACCTGAGAGACTAGCATAAAGAGACTAACAACAACAACAAAAAACTGTAATTCTCCTTTGATTCAGTCAGAAACTTTCAATTATCTCTCTACAGTTGTTACCCACTCAAAGTGTTTCATGAAGACCACCATGGTACTTATAATGCATATAGATAAGAGGAAAAATGGGTGGCTAATTCAAATGAGAAAGAAGAAAGAGAGAGAATTATAAAGATTTTCAAAATGTGCCGCTGGAAGAATGTGAAAATGCTAGAATCCAGTGATGCTCTTTCCATTTGCAGCAGTCAAGATCTCAAGACAACAGATAGGTCTTTTCTTAGACAAAGTCCAATGTTGTCTGAAAAGAATGCATCATATATGAAACACTGGGCTCAAAGGAGTGTAAAACAACACACAGCAATACTGTGCTGCAAAACCTAAACTTCACTGGAGCTTCCAGACTCGGAGTACAGGAAGAAATGCAGCCTACATGCGAAAGTAGCATTGAGAAGCTGGACTGTTTAGACAGGGGTTGGCAGTTGCTTTCTGGGTGAAGCTCAGCTACTTTACAAATCTTTGCTTTTTGTATCTCAGTTACTTTTCCTGTAAATGGAATACAATAAATGGATTTTCTTCTCATGAGGCTTACACAGTGACCCTTCTCAGGACTGTTAGCACACAGAAAATGCTCAGTAAATACTTGGCCCCTCCTGGTCCCCCTCTGTAGTCAGCCCCTCTCAAAGCTAACACCCATTTCCTCACTTGTTACTCTCAGGCTGTGCCCCTGAGTCCACACCACACACACTGCCTTTGAGGCACTGATGTATGAGTGGCATAAGGAGGGCATGTCTGCCCTGCAAAGCTGAACTTTCCTTCAACCTTTATTTTCAATAAATAGCACTGGAATATTTTGATACATTTTCAATAACTATCTTCATCTTGGCATTTATCTGGCAGTAGGAGACCATTATCTTGTGATAAATAGTTTTATTCCACTGACATTTCCATGTCTGTAAAATGAACAAGATTTATTCATCCAATTAACATTTGAATGTCATGTTTAGCTACAAGTTGAAAACAAGCTGCCTTCAATATCTGTGTATATTGTTTTCTGAATACATTTACAGAGCAGGCCAAACTGTGCTCTGAAGATAAGCACTACACATCTTCAGAACATGTGTGCGTTGATTCCGAAGGGGTGAATCCAATCCCAAGCACTGCGGCATCACAGAGCAAGCTCAGTAATCAAGTAACAAAAGACAACATGCTTTTAAATAATGCTTACATATCAAAATTAGAAGGAATTAGTAGTAGCATAATAAAATGAGCACTGGGAAGGCCACTAACACCTTGGTGATACAGGTCTTCAAGATTATGCTGTCAGTTCCCATCTGTGATGGAATCCGAAGCCGGCATCAGGACTCAACATCCAGTGCTCTTCCTGAGCCATGCTTCCTCTGAGGAGAGAGATACTGTGAATGCTTTATGTGTATGTGTTGTATGTAATACCATACAGATACATACATGCACATAAAAAGGAAAAACAAGCAATGTGTTCTTAATCGCTAAACTTTTCAGACCCAGAGAGGAAAATTGGGTTTTAATATCCGCTAATAAATAATTTTAATTTTATTCCTTAAAATAGTCAATATCCTAAGCATATCCTAAGGCTGGAAGTATTTATACAAGAACAGTAATGGGCAGCCCAGCAGCAATATCAGGAAATCTTACAGAATTTTTCATCAAATTTGGTTCTAGAACAGAGGACCAGTGCTTACATTTTCATACTTCACCAAATCTAGAGAATAAAAAAAAGAGACTTCCTAGAATGCAGGTTTTAAAAGACTATGGAAATCAAGTAAGAAAGCAATCACAAACATTAAAAATAAGCTCAAAACAGACAAAAAAAAAAGGATGTACTTTTATTTATCTCAAGAAATGCATGTTATTAAAACAAGTAAGAATTTCTGCGGTTTTAGAGGCAGAAAGAGTAAGACTCAAAAGGAATGGATGACTCCAAAAATATAGTGCCTTCCGGACACAACAGGCCGGTCACAATGCACAGGACCGGCACAGGTTAAGCCAGATGGGTTCCCAGTGCGAGAGGCAGAGGCGGATCCGCTCCCCGTCCGCACTAGTGCTCACACAGGAAAAGTCAGATTTCTACCACAGAGTCCCATCAGGTATATAAATCACACGTGCGGCCCCACACCCAGCAGAGACGGCGAACATAAAATAAGCGCAATGGTGTTTCTCATGGATCTTTTGTTTGTTGTTTCATACTGTTCGTTTGAGTATTTTTTACCTTATTGGTCTTTTGCTTGGGTATTATAGTTCCCAATTTTGTGTTTTTATGGATGTGTATGTGTGTGTTTCTAATGCCTTTTGTGGTTTTTATTTTTATCTTTCCCTGTTTGTTTTCTGAAGAGAGAGAGAAAGAAGGTATATAGCTGGATGATGGGGAGGGTCTTGGAGAAGATGGTAGAGAGAAAACCACAATCAATATATTACATGAATTTTCAATAAAAGCAAAGAAAAAATAAGAATTTTTATGGTCTTAGCTTTTACAGCTTTTAAAAAAAGAAATTAAGTACTGTGTTTATAGTGTTCAGCCACTTTCTATAACAGTTAATAGAAACAAGATTAGCAACAATGTATTTCTCTACATCATTGATATTAGTTGCATTCACATATTACAGCATAGCTGTAGATCACTAGTATACATGGTTAGCAGGTATAAGGCCCTAGGTTCTAACCCCAACACACAACCTCCCTCCACCATACGGATACATCACCATGCGTTTTTTCTACTTCTCACACAGTGAGGAAAAACCAGAAACCCAACAGTCATTCCACATCTATCTCTTCCTCGGTCATCAATCTCACAATAAAAACTTGAGATTTCAAAATAATTTTCAATCTCAAAATAAAAAAAAATCTCACAATAAAATTTTGGGTCTGTCCCAAAATTCTCAATTTCTCCATAGCGTGTTCTTGCCTTTCCATTTGTACTGCTCTGAGGTGTAAGTTCAAACTTAACAGTAGCCTTTGTCAGTTGTCCACGCTCTAGAGCTGGGTGTCTATGCCTATAAACTTCAAACATAAATCTAATGCTTTCTGTGTTGAGTGCAGATCCTCACAGGGTAAAATCCAAACATACAGGCATTCCAGCCCCTTCCAACTGGCCTATCGGCACCGTTGTCTGTCATTCTCCCTAGGAAGCAGGGAATGAATGCACTGCTTGCGCCACTCAGTGAACCCACTCAGGCTCTCAGAGCACCAGTCAGCCCTTTGCCCTCCTGGGCTTGCTTCAGAGCAAGTATCACTGTCTGAAGTTATCTGCTTACACATCTCTTCTCATTTCCTGCCATTCCCAGCTATAGAGAGCTACAGATGTGGGTCTTGACCATTCTTACTCCTGAATGGACATGCCATCAATAAAGATTTCTTAATTCTGTAGCAGAGGCTGAAGTGTCTATATTTTTCATACTTAGTATAAATATTTCCCACATTAGTTAAAAGCCATCTTTGCAACTTCACTGGTTACGTGATGCTATAATCATACTACACTGTAATTTTCTTATTTACTTAAGTATCTCAATGCTGTTGGTCATTTAAAATATCACCAGCTTTGAAACAGTACCTGGCACAAAGCAGTCACAAGGAAGCCATACCAATTTTTCTTCTTTTCAATTATTTTCTTTTGATAAATTTCCTAGAATGGAATTACTAAGTCAAAATGAAAAATAACTTTTAATTCAACACAAAAGAACTAGTATCTCACCCTTCAATTTTCTCCTTCGGGTAATAAGATAAGAAGTTAATTTTAGAAATAGATATTTATATTATTTGGCACCTACTATATGCCAAGCCTTTGTGATATATCAGCTGGAAAAATGATGTTTTGTGGAAGTTATATTCTAGCCAGAAAGCAAGAATGTGACAGTAAATAACAAACATCATATAGGAAGTTTAGAAGCAACATATAGTACAGCAGAAACAAAAAGGAGGCTGCAGAGTGCCAGCCTGGAGGGCAAGGTCAGTTTTAGACCTTTCTGAGAAGGTGACCTGAAGAACAGACAGTGGACAGTGCCTGTGAGCTGCTGTGATACCGGGCCAAAGGGAGAGAGTGCAGGGGAGAGAGGAGACTGAAGCCACAGCAACACTGAAGAGAAGCAGGATGAGGGCTCTCTCAGCTCTCGTGGGCATGTAAGACAAAAGACAGCGTCATCAAGATACAGTTCACATACATTCAACTCTCCCGTTTAAAGTGTCTAAGCCAACGGTGGTCTCCAGTGTTTTGTAAGCAATACCTCAGGTTTAGACTACTTGAAACAGAAATCATCAACTTATTAG